CCGCAGGTAGACTTGAGCCAGGAGTGGTAAGTATGACACGACCTGTTTCAGAACGTAGCCGTTCGGGTCAGTAATCGACGCGTCTGGTTCCTGGATTTTGACGGTCGGCAAGACCTCCACGTCCAAAGGGGTCGCACACAACACGATGAATCGAACACCTCGAGGAACCGTGAGTTGCTCGCTCAGTTGAGCAGAACAGACTGGGATGCGGTAAGACCAAAGACCTAAAGACAGTTGGTGTCTTAGTTGTAGGAGCTAACCAGTGGACGTACGTGCTTGTTCCGAGTGAATGCTGACGTCATAGGGAACCCTTAGCCACTCTGCCACGACATCCTCAGGTCCAGAAGAAAGCTTTTCCGACCCTGTAAGCCGGATTGATCTGATTGTTGGGTCAAGAAACTGGACTACCGTTTCTCTCGACCCAAACGTGGAACACCGCAGTCGAGCTACGCCGTCCGCCACCCCACATGCACTGTCCATGTCCAATGGGTCTTATTGATTATTATCCAACAAATGGTTTAGTTGCAAAGTGGTCCGTAAAAGAAAGGCCCACACGAAAAAGAAAAAAAGAACATGAAGGCGTTGCATTGCGTGTTCAAAATGGGAGACGGCGCACCTTCAGCTAATATACATCATCTACCTGCAGATTTGGTTCAGAGCTTTTATCTCTTGCCAGAGATAATCCTCACCTTCATAAACTACCATTCGAAGCTTGTTGTCACAGTATATGGAACTCAGTCCATGGAACTCACGCTTCAGCCTCCTCCTCGGTTGACTTTTCTGCAGCGTTGTCCGCCTCCGACTCCGCAGCAGCCTTATCCTTCGGCTCTTTCCTCATCGCGCTAGAGCAACAACTGCTCGGCGGCATCGTGCATCTAAGCTCCGAGGAATCCACAATATCGTACGAGATGATGCGTCTGTCCATCTCCAACAGCTCTCTTTGGTACTGCAGGTTCGGCACTATGTTCTTCTCTTTAATTAGAGGATTTTGCTCCACCATCTTGTCCCAGATAGCTTGGACCATCTCCGTGTTCTGTACTTCGACCTTGTAGTGCCGGCCAGACGACCAAACCATGCACTCACACTTCCCGCCGCATATGCAACCAAAGGAAGACCTTACCTAAATTAACGCGTGTGTGTACACACACGAAGCCCACAACACGCGCCACCGGAAGCACATCTCCACTTACGTATATTGTTATAGGCATCAAGATTGAATGGATCTAATTTTTTTCCCTGCACCAAATAAGACCCCCTCACGACCTCCGTTAGCTGCGACCAGGCAAAACTACATGACACCGAGCATTCACTACTTATGGCAATTACGGACGCCAGTCGACGTTACAAGCGACCTTACTTGGTTCAACGAAAAAATGAGACATCTTTAACAAGAGACGTCTCTGAACAAACTAAATAATTCTGGACAGCTGTACATACATAGAAGGCCTCTACAGTTGATTGGGCTCTTTAGACAGTTTGGCCATTCTCAACATCGAGGTGTAACTTGCTGGGCTTGCGCAGCAGCCGAATTACCACTTCCGGGCAGCAAGTGCACGCTTCACACGGGCAGACGCACTCTCCTGCGGTTGTAACCGGCGGCAGGGTGACCGGGACCGTAGTTGTGGCCGGCAAGGTTTGCGTAGGGGTCGGTCCGACTGCAGTTGAGGAGTGAATGGGTGGAGTAGTGGTGGCCGGCAAGGTCTGAGTAGGGGGCGGTGGGACGGCAGTTGAGGACTGAATGGGCGGAGTAGTGGTGGCTGGCAAGGTTTGAGTAGGGGGCGGTCCGACGGCAGTTGAAGACTGAATGGGTGGAGTAGTAGGCGCGGGAGTGGTGGTGGTTTCGTGTACACACTCTATGTCTTCGATCATCCCGATAATCGACGCAAGTCTGGACCAGAAGTCGCTGCTGTCCGGCGCTTGAGGAGCTACGAATGCATCCTTTTGATCGATGTATTGATTGAACTTAATCCAACTCTTCGAGGGCCACCCATTGTTCCAGTCACCGTCATACACAAGGGAGGCTACGTAGGCCCCCGTACTAGCGATCAAGTTCTTCACCTGCTCTGGGGAGGGATAGTATTCCTGAAGGCACTGCTCTGCAGCATTTCCTTCCTGAAAGACACCACCGAAGGGCCGCATACCCATGTCCTCGGTATGGGAATCGCCGGCATAATGGGGGCCAGCATCCGTACTGATAACGACCAATTTGGTGGCAACAGGGTCCTTCGACCACCCGGGTGTGTCAGATTGGAGAGCGGCGAACAAAGCACCGAACTGATTCTCGGGGGCATCTGCGCCTCCGTAAGACACGATGTTACCGTAAGCA